CCGACAGAGACGCCGGCCCCTCGGCCCTCTTGGACCGCTGAATCCCCCACCCCCCTCAAATGCCCCCTCGCACTCAGTAGCATCGCCTCCCACTCAACACTTGGATGCCCAAAAAAGCACCACGCGCAATACTTCGCCCACACTCACTTTTTTCCTCCGCCTGCACCCCCCGTGCTGCTTCGCTCCTTCGCTGCTGGGCAACGCGCAAGGTGCCATCGTCTTTGCGGCTGGTGTAGACTGTACATGGATTGATTGGATCAGAGGAGAGACGGCGCACGGGCTCGCTACTGTGTGTATTGGTGGTGGTGTAAGTAAAAACTCGAACGGACATGGATTTAGCAGCACCCGTTCTTCTTGGTGGCGCCGCCGTCGTCTGCGCTGGGCTGGACGGTGATGGTCTCGCCGCCGGAGGGCTTGATGACGTCGTCGGACGATTGGAGCGCCTTGTTGGATACGATGCGGTAGATCTCTGTGAGGATGTTCTGGAACGCCTGTTCTACGTTGGAGGCGTCGAGCGCCGAAGTCTCGATGAACGAGAGGTTGTTTTCGGCTGCAAATGCAAGCAAGTGGGTCGTGGGTCGAGGGTCAGTACGAGCAGTCTACTTGAGCAGTTGCGTGAGCAAGAAAAGCAACTCACCGGCAAACGCTTTCGCCTCGTCGGTGGGGACGGCGCGGAGGTGTCGGAGATCGCTCTTGTTGCCGACGAGCATGATGACGATGTTGCTGTCGGCGTGGTCGCGCAGCTCCTTGAGCCACCTGGAGACGTTGACGTAGGTGGGGTGCTTTGCGATGTCGTATACGAGGAGCGCGCCGACGGCGCCGCGGTAGTAGGCCGAGGTGATGGCGCGGTATCGCTCCTGACCGGCCGTGTCCCAGATCTGGGCCTTGACGGTCTTGCCGTCGACCGAGATGCTTCGGGTGGCGAACTCGACGCCGATGGTGGACTTGGACTCGAGGCTGAACTCGTTGCGTGTGAATCGCGAGAGCAGGTTCGATTTACCCGTGCCCGAGTCGCCGATCAGCACCACCTTGAACAGGTAGTCGTAGTTGGATTCCGCAGCCATGGTGGAAACTTGTGTTGCAAAGCAGGTGCGAGCGAGAGTGAAGAGGCGATGCGTTCAGCCGAGAGCGAATGTCGCAAAGCCGTAAGGTTGTGGTCACGGTAGCGGATCGACTGTAGTTCCTGTGGTGAGCGCTCAAAGGGGTTGGGCTGGTAGACCGGAATCGCAAGACCTGACGGTGTCGTTATGGCGCTCGAGGGTTGAAGAAGCGATATAGCGAGCCAAGCAGCTGCCAAAGAGGATGGTAGAGAGATCGATGTGTGGTGGTAGTAGCTGTGCTGGAGGTGAGCAACGTTGCTGTGCGGAGAGAAGGAAGCGATGGCCAACCGTGCGTGACTTTGCATCAACGAGCGAAGCTGCTGCTGCTGCTGCTGCTGCTGCTGC